TGCTGGCTCTGTTCCCTGGAGCTGTGCCACCACAAGCTGTTCTGGTCCGTATTTTGACACCCTCTGCAGTGTTTCTTTAGCTTCGTCTCCAGCGAGCCGTGCTCGGCCGGCGCGGGACCTGTACTGCAGCAGTGATTTGGGGGTGCCTGCCTCTGATGTTCCCCGCGCTTCCCCTGTTACCACAAGCAGGCTGAGCGTAAACATGGCCACAGCAAGGAGGGCCGTGCAGTGCCACGTGGTGGGACTTGGATACCTGCCTGCTTTAGGGGTCATCTCAAACTCCCTGCCAAAATCTCGTGTTTCCTTCAGATTCCTTTGCTTAAAGGTGTGGGAGTTTTCCGCTCCAAAGAACTTGCTGGAAAGCGAGTCAGTATTCTCATCGGGGTTAATGTATTTAATTTCCACTCCTAGCGTTCAATTTGTTTTTTCTGTTAGTGTTTAACTGCCGTGACACAATCCCACTCCTTGTGAGCTGTCCAAGTCTGTCTGCTCGGTGGAAAACAGAACCGCTCTCCTTATCTCACCAGTGTCTGTGGGAAGGAAGACTGAAGGTACAGCAGCTCTGGAAAACAAACATAGGACACTTGAGGGCAGGACGGCTCCAAAATGCAAACCAAAAGCAGATTCATAAGCTGAAATTCAGAAATCTTGGATTTCTTTATGAAGTATTCTGCAACTTGCGGGTCTTGAAAAGCAGAGTAAAATAAACAGGGGATTAAGCAGAGCAAAACCATGCCATTCTATTTGACGGGGCTCCAAAGTGGAACAAGCACAGTGTCTTTTGGCACCTCTAGGATAATGAGCAGTTGTGGTTACTAATTCAATGATACTCCTCGCTAAAGTAGACTGAATAACCCTGAAGTCTGGGCTAAATTTGAATTCACGTAATTATATGCTGCGTGTTATGTTCCCTTCCATTTTCAATTACAAAAAGTATTTGGTATTGTTTTCCATAAGCTGTTACTCAAACTGTCGTCTGATGTGAAATGGTTGCTGTATTTTACAACACAGGTAGTCTCTCCTGTGGGAGGTTTTTAATGGGAGGAGAATTCATTAAATTAGTTTGTTGGTAGCATGATAAATCAAGCCCCGCAGTCCTAACAGTGAGGTGTAATGGAGCTCGCAGCAAAGCTAGTGTTAATGCTGCTAAGGGCTTTCTATTCTAGTTTTCAGTTGTTCATAACTGCCAGTCTGAGCTGAAATTTCCCCTGTTGGGTGTCTGCTTCCAGCTGTTTTGTTTTAGCTTGCTTTCATTGTTTTATTTTGTATTATGATTTGTTTGCTTTGTTTTTGGAAAGTTGCGTTTACAACAATCGAGCCAACTGCTAGGGTGAATTTAGGGGAGAATATACGGTTTTGTCCATTATAAACATAACCATTTCACTGAACAGCCTCTAGCATCTCTCTGGTTTGGAGAAACAGCTTTCAAATTTGGCAAGTGAATTGCTTTAGTTTCAGGGATATAGTTTTTCATCTTCTTGAAAATGTGACTTGTAGAGAAAAGGGGTTAAAAATGTTGCATGGAGGCTTCTTAAAATTTTACAGCCCAGTCCCCAGAAAGTTCCACCCGTGTTGATCACGTGTAACCTGTTTTAGGCCCATCTGCATTCACAGCTGAATGCGTGCACTCTCTCTGGAGACAGGCTGAGCTTGTGCCTTGCTTTGCTTGTACTCTGGGTAAACCAGGAAGCCTTTAAGGGGCTCGGGCTGAAATGTGACGCAGCCCATCTCTCTCCCTTGAAAATTTTCACCTGTTGTAGCGAGGGTCGTGGCAGAGTGAACCACATAAAAGACCTGTCTCCTGCTGTAAGCTGTTTACAGTTTTTGTTGGTATTACTGTGTTAACACTAAAGACTACTCATAGTTGTAAAGTCCAAGTAAGATTTAATGCTGTTATCCCAGAACATAATGTGATACTGGAAGGGATCTGTAGAAGTGGAGGAATGCCTCCAATATACCAGAGATGGAGGAAGAGGTCTTGAGTGGGCAATTCTGGAAGATTTTTGTGCAAAAGATTGTCCTCTTCCTCAGGTGGGACTAAGGAAAAGGAAGAGGAGTGAAACAGAGTTTTTAAAATGCAGATTTAGAGGCTTCAGGTTTAACAATCTGTAGTTAAATATGAAAGAAGTCAGTTACAGTTACCATGTTCCAGTACAAAAAGGTGACTTAGAAATAAATTTCGTAAGCTTTTGTGTACGTATATATACAAAGCACACACACATATATGTATAGGCAGTGAGAAGGACAGTGGTTTTAGGTTGTTTTAAAAGGCTGAGGAGAGTGATCTACAGCCTCATTGGGCTGCCTTTATGGGCTATTGTCCTTCAGTGCTGAGGTATCACTTCCTAGAAAACGTGGTATGAAAGCTTAGAGTCAGAATCATCCCTGGCAATTCAATCAGATGGTAAAAAGCAGAGATAGTCTTTATAATAACCATGAAGTAATCTGGCAGAACACGCACGTTGATGAACAGCCTGTCCTGGCTTCGGCTGGGATAGAGTTGATTTTCCTCCCAGTAGCTGCTGTGTTTTGGATTTAGTACAAGAAGAATGTTGATAACACTGATGTTTTTACCTGTTGCTGAGAAATCAAGGACTTTTCCAAGTTTCTCATATTCAGCTAATGAGCAGGTGTGTTCGGTCTTTTTTTGGAGTTTTTCAAAATTTGCAAAATCTGTGAGTCCAGGTTCCATGATCACTGCTCGTGGACTGACTGCAACTTGGTCATCTGGTGGTGAGAAAATTGTATTGTACGTAGTTTGTTTTGCATATTAATTATTACTATTGTTTTTAGTGTTAGTAGTTCCTTTGTTGTCTTATTAAACTGTCTGTATCTCAACCCATGAGTTTCCCCTTTTTCCCATTTTCTCCTCCCCATCCCACTGGGGGGAAGGGGAGGAGTGGGCGAGCAGCTGCCTAGTGCTTTGCTGCCAGCTGCCAGGTTAAACCACAACATAGCCACACAAACTAAGGCCCTTTCCAGGAACCAAACAAATCTGAACATGGACTAAAGCATGTGAAGGGAAAAGACATGGGTTCTTGAGCAGTGATTTCACAGGAGGTGGTGCTCAAATTGAACAGCTCACTGCTGCCAAAAGGGCCTCTTCATTTCCAATTAGATATTAGGAAGAAATTCTTTACTATGAGGGTGGTGAAACACTGGAACAGGTTGTCCAGAGAAGCTGTGGCTGGCTCCTCCCTGAAAGTGTTCAAGACCAGGTTGGATGGGGCTTTGAGCAGCCTGATCTACTGGAAGATGTCCCTGCTCACGGCAGGGGGGTTGGAACCGGATGATCTTATGGTCCCTTCCAACTCAAACCATTCTATGATTCTATTTTGTGCAGTAATCGATGGGTCTTGCTCCTTCTCTCCCAATCCTCAATGGCTGAGTCAACTCAGTAGCCCAGCAGAAACATAACCAGGCAGAAAAATACGTAGTTTTCTACGAAACCAGATCAGTCAGTCATTTGTTTCCGTTAGCTCAGTAAGGAGGGTCCAGCGAGCATCAGGGCACAAAGGAAGAGCTGGGCCTGCATGGCTGGGTGGGAGGCTGGGGGGAGCCTCTGCAGGCGTCAGCGA